TAATTTGTCTCCTATGGTGAGATTCTTGGCTTTAGTCTTTTTGATCTGAATCCCCCAAAGAGTCTGCCCACTGGGGCCAGGAGCCCACGGGTCCTGGTGGATCCGGGTGAATGCTCACAGGTGTGTGACTACCTTGTCGGTCACTGCAACGCTTCTGTCACGGTGATGCTGTTTCCAAGTTCAAAGTCAAACATCGTATCCCTGAGGCAAGCGGAGTGAGGAGCACACCCCTGCTGTGCGGGAGGCAGGGGCAGCACCCGGGCAGCACATGCAGGGCTGTGTGCGGGAGGCCCCTTGCAGGTGGAGGTGGAGGAGGTCCATGTGCGCATGGGTGACGGTGCCTGGAGCCCCAGGTGTGTCTGACAGGACAGCTGGACGAGGACACCAGCACGTGAAGCGCACAAGGAGCGCAGAGCACACAGTGGGAGATGGATGGGAGATTCTGGAGTCAGCCAGGCCCTTCTGATTTCCCTTGATTTCATTTTTGTTTTTATTGTTTAAATGTCTTTTGTTGCTTTCAGAGAGGCAGGGAGAGGGAGAGAGAGATAGAAATATCAATGATGAGAATGATTGATCGGCTGCCTCCTGCACGCCCCACACTGGGGATGGAGCCCGTGACTCAGGAACCCTGACAACCCAGTTCATAGGTTGATGCTCAAGCACTGAGCCAGGCCGCCCGGGCCCCTTTGTTTCATTGCTGACCTGTGGGAAGGACAGAGGACACTGAGCCCCACAGGACGATTGAGTTCTGGCAAGAGACGGAGACCAGAGGAAGGAAACAATCTCTGAAGCCCAGGCCCCCCTCCCCCGGCCCATGGCATGGGCCCCCCTCTACAGGTCAGAGCACAGAGCAAGAAGCCAGAGCATCGCTGGGTGCAGGAGGCTGGGGCAGGCGCTCTGTGGGAGGGGGAGGCATGTGCAGCACCTCACACGTGTCCCGGGAGCCTCGAGGCCTGGATCTCGGGGCTCAGTGCACAAGGACAGGGGAAGAGGCAGTAGCATGGCATGTGGAGTTGGTCAGGTGAGGCACGTGGCTGATCCGGGCACCATCAGGGATCTTTTCGTTTTACATGCTTCTTCTCAAAGCGAAATGCTGTTGATCAATGCGTCTCCTAATGCGCTGAAGGGGGTTGGTTTCCATGTTCTCTATCCATGGCGGGTATCATTTATTGGTCACACAGAGGCCATTGTAGTCACGGCTTCCATCCTCAGGGGCCTAACTGCAAACATGCTTGTCACATGATTGTGCGGATGTGAGAAGAATGAGCCATGTCACTCAATTCCATGCACCCTAAGAATATGGATCTAAACAGCCTTGGGATCTATCACTCAACATTATTTCAGTCTGGCCAGGGGTTGGGCATTGACCTATGAACCCCGAGGTCACGATTTGATTCCCGGTCAGGGCACAGGCCCAGGTTGCAGGCTCAATGCCCATTGGGGGAAGTGCAGGAGGCAGATCAATGATTCTGTCTTATCATGGATGCTTCTCTCCCTCTCTCTCTCTCTTTCTCCTTAAGATCAATAAAATATTAAAATTATTTTTAATGAGTTGTCAGCCACGGCTAAGAGTCGTTCTTGATTTAATTCAAAGCGAGGCCAGGGAGGCCACTGTCATAGAGCTCTACACACGTCACTGACGCTGCTCGTTGGCATGAGAGCTGTACCTGTGGAGTGAATGCCTGCAGGTCTGACATGACGTGTGGGCCTCCGTCGTGTAACAGGGAACAGGCTGAGTGTGACGGGGACGGGCCCATGGGCACCGGTGTCTCCAGAGGCTACGTAGACGGCACAAGCCCATGGGGACATCACGACCCCGAAGTGATGTCTGAGGCGCCTCCAAGACCAGGCACCTGGGGACCAGTTAGAGCCTGAGCACTGGAGGGGCCCTGGGATCCAAGGGACGCGCGTGACCAGCGCCTCCTGCTGAGGACGGGAGTGCAGAGACCCGAGGGCCTCGGGACATTATCCCTGTCCCCACCCGCCCCCTCCTGTTCCCTGACTCCAATACCCTGTGAAGGATTATAAAGTCACAATAAGCCTCGTTTAGATGTGACCATTAACCAGACAATTAAGTGACTGAAAAGTAACCAGCTGGTGGTGCCAGAGAGAAATCCCAATAAAACCAGAGCCAAATTCAGATGCCCATCAGCCCTGAGGGTAACCAACACTCCCCTGGCAGAGTCAGTGAGATCGCCGGATATTGGCCTTTGGGATGAGGCGGTCTGTTCTGTTCGACTGTCACTCACATTTTTCCATTTTGGTGCATAATTGTAACAGCTGACACTGGCTGCCAGGGACTGCGCCGAGCATTTGTCCTGGATGAACCTACTTGTCCTAACACACATCTGTGCTGTCCCCTTATTTCCAGACGAGGACACTGAGGCAGAGGGGTCAGCACCTGCTGGGGACCCCACAGCGGGAAGCTCCAGAGCTGAGCTTGAACCCCGGGAGTCTGGCCCTGAAGATGGGCTCTTGCTCACAACCCACTGAGGGAAACGTCCCACATTTGAAAGAGAGACCCCAACGGCCTCCAGATTCTCAACAATGTGTGAAGCTGCCGGTTAGGGTTCTGAGGTGGCAGGACTGAAACTGCAACAATCTGAGAATAAGTTGTGAAATAAATGTGCTAATGTTTCCTCGGGTGAAAGGTGTGTGCGTGGTGTTCTTAGATCCCCCGTCCCTTCTCTGAGGAAATGTTGGTGATTTCATGCTTCAGGGTTTGCCTACTTCAAGTGTGTGGACATCAGTGTGTTTTTGTTGCTGCTACAGTTCCTGTCGCCAAGGGGCCACTGTTTCTGTAAGGTGCACGGTGACAGGTTTGCAGGAAGGATTGCTGTCCCTGGGCTGGTCGTGAATTCAGCTACACCATCAACTTTCATCTATTCTCACTGCGTTTCTCACTAGATTATCTTAGATTTCTCTGATGGTTGATTAATTATCTACGTACTAGTGGCCCGGTGCATGAAATTCGTGCACATTAAAAGGGAATTAATTAAAGGGAATATTTTAATATTGCTATTTGCTCTTTCTCTATAATAGAAGTTTCAGAGGTGAAAGAAAATTAGTAAAATGTATATGAAAATCTCCCTCCTGTCAGAGTCTGGGGCAGGCTGCGGGACCCGGAGTCTAGTCCCACCCACGCCTGCCTCCAAATTTCGTGAGACCAAGACCTGGCCAGCCCCACCCTCATCAAGCCCTGCAGGGCGGGTGGCTCAGCCTCAGGTCCCCCAGCCTGGTGCCGGTTGTGGGGTGCAGCCTCAGGTCTTCTATCAAGCCCTGCCAGATGAGGGGGCACAGCCTCCGGGCCGCCATCAAGCCCTGCTGGGGGGGCATAGGTTCAGGTCCCTCGTCCAGCCCTGCCAGGTGTGGGGACCCACCTCTGGTCCCCCATGAAGTCCCGCTAGGAGGGGGGAGTGTGGCCTCAATAGCCAGGCCTGACCTCAAGTCCCTAGGCCCCAGCACGAAGGCGCAAGGGTGTGAGTGCATGACAACCATTTGCATATTACCTCCTTATTATACATGATTATGACCAACTTATTGATGGCTTTTTATATGCTTTCACCCCGGTGTGAAGGGAATGTTTTCAACAAGTTGAGAGCCTCTGTGTTTGCTAGTCTTTACTTCACTGCAGCTTTTAGTTCACAGAAAACTTGACAGAAGGTATCGAGAGCCTGGCCGGGGCATCTCAGTGGCTGAGCGTCACTCTGTGCGCCGATGGGTTGCCAGTTCAATTCCTGGTCAGGTCCCACTCCAGCTGCCACCTGAATGCCCGTCCAGCACGTACAGAGGCGCCCGCTGGGTGCTTCTCACGGCCCTGGTGGGATTAAAACACAAAGAGAAAGTAGAGAGAGGTCCCACCTCCCCTTCCTTCCGGACACACGGAGCCTCCATGGGTCAGCACCAGGCCCGGTGCTGCCAGGACCCCAGGGTCTCAGGTGTTGGGCTGGGTGAGGTCACAAGGAACTGCCCAGCTGTCCTGGCAAGTGGCCGTGCTCCTGTGCATCCCCTCCAGCAATGGGGAAGCGTTACTGCTGCCCCGCACCCCTGCCAGCACGTGGTGTCGGTCAGTGAGCTTCTCTAAACAGAGAAAGAGGAGAAAGGACTGAGCAGGTGGAGGAACGAGGTTGGCATCACTGAGAGGACCGGATTGAGTCAGAAATCCAGATGCAAGCAGCTGAGCTAGAATGTCAGTGCCATGTACCTCCCTCCTGTCTGACAGGTCCCCCCCGCCCGACACCTGACAGAATCCTGTCTGTGCTGCGTGGTCTCAAGCCCGCTGTCCTGTCACCTGCTTCCCACAGCCTGTCTCCGAGTCCTGCGGCCTCCCAGTGCCCCATAGAGCAGCGGCCCACGGTCGGCACAGGTGGGGGACCAGCCCTGTGGGTGCTTCTCCTGTGGGGCCCGATGACCACAGGGGCCACCTCTGAACCGACAAGTGAAAGCGTCACCAGGACACTTGAGCGTTGATGGATCTGAAGTTGTGTGCATGGCTTTTCCACAGGCGCTCGAGTAGGAAGGTGGCAGTGGGAGGGTGGTCCTCCTCTTGGCACTGTTTTCTCCGAGGAGGCGGACACCACGGACTTACGCCCTCCACTGCCCAAAGCAGCCCTGGCACAGCGGGCACCATTTTACCCTGAGGGTGCAGCCCAGCCACACTGAGGGCTGGTTCACTCAGGGTCACGCATCTCCCGCAGGAACATGTGCTGACCCTCTTCTCTGTGCCAGGCCCTGGGCTGAGGGAAGAGCAAAGCGGACCCTGTCCGCACTGAAGGAGCTGAACCCCAGTGGCTCCCACCACCGATGGGGCGTGCACTTGTGACCCTCCCACCTCAGGCGGTGCCCAGGGAGCCGTGCCTGGTGCCAGCAACTCCCGCTCTGACCAAGTGCCCGGCTGTGAAGCTGATGGATGGCATCAGCCGTCAGTGAGGAAGGGTGGCTGGAAGCCAGGCCTTGGGACCTGCCCCATCCCCTGTGGCAGGACCAGTGAGGCTCACTGGGTACAAATAGCCCTGGGCTCCCCAGGCTGCTCAGTCCAGCTCCTCAGCGCTCACTGTTTGCTCAGCTGAACGCTCAGCCGCAGGAACCATGAAGCTGGCCCTGTCTCTGCTGCTGGTCACTCTGGCCCTTTGCTGCTCTGACGGTGAGTGTCACGTCCACTCAGACACCATCAGCCGGGAAGGGCCCTTCTCCAGTCCAGGTGACTTACATGGGGATGGAGAGGGGTCAGAATTAACCTTTCCCTCGCCCTGTGGACCAGCCCCCAAAGCCCGGCACTCGGGGTATCCGATCCCGGGGCTCTGGAACTTCTACAGAAACCCCCGCAAGCCATGTGGGCGGTCCCGTGGGAGGCCCCACTGCCGCCTGGTCTGTGTCGCAGAAGCTCCAGGACAGAGTCACCTTCTCGTGAGTCAGGGTCCTGCCCCTGCAGCGTTGTGGCCTGGAATACAGGCTGCATCTCCCCAGGCCTCTCCTCCCTGGATCCCAGCGCCCAGGAGAGAAGCTGGGGCGATGGCGGAGAGGAGGTGGTCCGAGGCCGCCCTGGTCTCACCGACGTCTCCTCACCAGGGTCTCTTAGGTGCCAGGTGAGCCCAAGACTCTTGGACTCCTAGGTTCAGACTCAGAGAATGTTCCAGCAGGAGAGGGCTCCGTTCAAGAGGAGCAGTGCCGCCTGAGGCTCAGAGTGGCCAGTGTCCACGTGGCTCTGAGACCCAGAGGCGCTCAGGGGCCCGACAGGCCCGCTCCTCCTCCAGGGGCCCAGCCAGGACGTGTAGAGCCAGTGTGAGCGCTAGGGCCACAACTGCCCTTTTCCAGGTGAATGTGGCCAGTGGCCAGCAATGCTGGGCATGTCCTCACGCTCTCGGGGCTGAGCCATGTCCTTTTGAGTCTCTTCCATCTGACTTTCTGAACCCGCTCCTCTCTCCCCACATGACCTCTGACCTGACCCTCGGCTGTCTCCCAGGTGTGAGGGGCCTAGTGGGCACGGGGCCTGGTGGGCACAGTCCCAGCTGCAGGTGCTGGCAGAGGCCTGAGGGTGGGGATGGAGAATCCAGACCTGGAAGTGGTTCCTGAAGGTCTCAGCACAACCCACTGGGTGGAAAGTCAGCCCAGTCCCTGCGCCCCCTCCAGGGGCTTCTGTCCTCAGGGCGGAACCAAAGGGCCAGTCATGGTCTGGCCTCAGCGTCAGGTGTGACACTCACAGACTTCCTCGGTTAAGCCTGAGCCCTCTCTGTCCCATGACATGATCCCAGTGTTAGACTGAGCCTCCAAGGGCATCCTCCATCCCTTAGTAGCGTTCCTCTCTCCTCTCCGCATTTACTGTCTCCCCCTGGGCCCTCTGCCAGGACCCGACCCTACCCTTCCCTGGAAAGACTGAGGGCTAACAGCTCCCTCCCCCAGTACCAGACAAAGGCAGGGGTGGCTCTACTGAGGGGCAAAGCTGAGGCTTTGAAATCCAGGGACCGTGACTGGGGCAAAGCAGGGGACTCTGGGAAGGCCTGGGTGTACTTGGTAAAGGGGAAGACTGACCAGGGGTGGTCACCTGTGCTCCATCCGGGCTCCGCTGTGTCCTGGCGCCAGTGAGGACTTGGGGGAGATGCATTGTCCTGGGCACAAGTATGGGAGGAGACCATAAGCCCCTGGGGTTCCTGTCTAGGTCTGAGGTCAGGGAGCCGTGGGGAAAGTGACTTTCCTACATCCAATGTGTTTCTTTTTCTTCTCCTCCAGCAAATGCCAAAACCTGTCCAGCCCTTCAAAACGAAGTGAGAGGCTTCGTGTTGGACATTAAACCGCTTTTTTATCGCATCCTCAAGACGTTTCCGGCACCTGAACCCGCCTACGCGTCCACGATGGCTGTGAAGGATTGTGTAAATCGGATGTCCTTTAGCGACAGACACAAAATTTACGACGTTGTGGTAACTCCATTGTCCTTCTGCATAGAGGCTGCTGCTCAGCTGCATGGCCAGGCGGGAGGAGGGTGCTGCTCTGGGGGGCACAGGCGGGGGGCACCTGTCCCTCTGCTCACCTCTGAGAGAGGGGCCCGTGGCCAAGGGTGGATGGTGACCCGACACCCGCTGGGCCAGCCTCAGGCTGCACAGCCTCTGCAGGCCCCTCCCTGGGCTCTGGTTTCCCCACGTGTCCTGAGGGGGGACAGCCAGGGCCCAGGCGGTGATCGTGAAGGGCCAGACACTGCTGCCTCCCTGCCTGGGAGCGTTTTGGAGGGCGAGGTCCCTCACTGGAGGCAGGAGGCACTGTCCCTGGGGAATAATGCCATGGGGTGGGGGTGCACAGGGGGAGGCAGGGGAGGCAGGGAGCTGGCCCCGCCCTGTGAGGAGGGAGGCAGGCGGGGCTCTGGCAGCTTTTGCAGAGCCAGGCCCAGTCCCTGTCCCCTTGCCCCTCTCCCTCCTCAGCCATCAGGCCAGAGGGCAGGGCCCCGCCCAGTCTGTCCTCTGCAGCCAAGGGTGGAGCTGACCGCCTCCCTGTCTCTGAGGAAATCAGACTTGGGGGGAGGGGGTGTGTCTCAGCTCCTCCGCCCCTGAACCAGGTCGGGCTTTAAGCTGGAGTCCCCACGGGCAGGGCCTCAGTGTGGACATGTCAGCGCGCCACCAGGTTGCATGTCCCGCCGGGGTTGCAGATCTCCGCAGGCAGATCCTCCCGTGGCCCCTCCCGCCTGGCCCTCCTCCCGTGTCCACTCTCCAGTGAACAGTCCCGTCCTGGGACCTGGGACTCAGAGAAAGCAAATCCGGGGCTCTCTGCCCCCTTGTCCCCCTCCTGCTCCATCAGAAACCCGAGGCCACTCCTGGGCTCCTCGGTGTCTACATCCGGCTGTGGCCATGGCTCTTCCCTGATGTGTCTGCTGCTGGGGCTGCACGGGGACCATTGAATCCCCACCAGCACCCTGTCCGCCCGTCTCCCACTGGCCTGCCCTCTTCCCATCTTGGTTGTGAGCACACGCTGTGCCCGTGGCATCTCCAGGGGCAGTGGGACTGACGGCCCTTTCTCTCTGTGTCTGTTTCAGACGGCTATCGGGAATATGTGCAACAAATAGATTCAACAAACCTCACCTACGAGGGCCCCTGCTTTCAAGGATGCCCTGACCTTCCCTGGAAAATGTAGAGGTTTCAACGTCTTGCTTCAATAAATCACTTGCCCTGCACGTCCCGCCTGTCTTGTTTTATCCCAGTCTCTGGCCGTGGGTGGGAGGCATCATGAGGGGGCCTTGGGTGGTGACAACAGTGAATCAGGCTGACCCGATGGGCAGTGACCTGGAGCCAGAGGGCACGGATCACAGAGGGAACATTGGCTCAGGGCCCGGCCCGCGTCTGCATAGGCCCCCCAGCCCCAGGCCCTGCATGAGCCACGCAGGCTCCCGCACCTCCATCCCCGAGGGGCCCCCTCAGCCAGCCGCACACCTGAGAGCTCAGACTCCTTTCCAGGGGCGGCGGCCAGGCCCGCCCTGCACTGTGGTCAGGGGAGTCTGTCCCAGGGGCCAGGACAGGAGGCTGCGGTCTGTCACTCTCTGCCCAGACCCCAGGGTGCGGAGGCCCTGCTGGCTGTGCAAGTCCAGGGGGAAGCTCTTCCTGGTGGCTTCCCGCTGGGAGGCGGATGCAGTCCTTGTCTGGCTGCATGGGCTCCAGGGCCCAACGGAGCTGCCATTGCGCCTCCTTCCTGTGAAACCTCTGCCTCCTCCTCCCCCACATGTGGGATGGCAGAGAGCAGGCCCAGGAAATCCAGGGTTGTCGCCCCCACTCAGAATCCGTACCTTTATCACAGCTGCAAAGTCCCCATAGAGAAGAAAGAGAAGTTCAGGGCTTAGGGCATGGAACGTTTGGGGGCTTATGACCCCACTGCAGCTCATCTGACTCCTGACACCTGTGAGCCACCCCGATTCCCTGCACGGCCCCCTCCCTCGTACAGCCTGTGCTTTCCATCTGCACAGCCATCATCATCGTCCTGCCCTTGTCCCTCCTGGCTTGTGCCCAAGGCTCCTACCCGGGCCCTGGGGGTGGAGCTGCCCTCCCTGCAATGCGCCTGCACATCCACACCACAGTGACCTCCCACAGGAAGGGGAACCGGCCCTTCTTCTGCACCTGAGAGCCTAGGCCATGGTCCCCATGTTTCCAGGAAGAGGACGTCTCATTAGTCCTCAGCGTCTCCCATGATGAAGGGCACATGATGCCCACGTGACTGAGAGCATAGCCGATGGGGGCCCATGTTATCAGTGATGCCCCTCGCGGCCACAGTGAGTGTGTGTGTGTCTCATCGGGAAACACGCACACTCAGTTGCCTCTTTTCTGAAGCACATGATGTGCTCAGTCTGCAGCCTGTGCTCGGTGGACGCAGGATTCTTGAGCTCTTGCCACAGCCTGAGAGACACAAGTTGGGTCCCACCGGGAGGGCAAAGGCCCCCCTGGTGCTGCTCTCGAGGCCTCGCACTGAAGCATCCATCTTATATAAAAACTGCTGTTTGAAATTTTAACCCTGCTATTTTGGCTTCTGTAAATACTTGCTTGCTTAAATAAGAAGGAAAGTAAGACTACACTCATTCCAGACAGGCCGTTAACTATGCCCCAGACAGAGTTGTCAGTGCTGACACCAGGCCAGGCCTTGAGATATGGTGTCATGGCCCCTTCCCAGCATGCAGGCCTTCTTTCTCAGAAGGCCCGGAAGTCTCATTCCAAATTTGGGAGACAAAGGACTAGAAAAAGTATAAGTAAAGAGAGTTTCCTCCGTGTTGGGAGGCCTAGAATGGGAAACATATTTTTTGTTTTTTTTTCTGGGCCTGCACAGAATTTAATAATAAAATGTTACTCCCTTTATGTAAGCGTGGCTGGTTTTTTCTCAGGTCTTCTGGAACATTAATGGTTCCCTGACCGAGAAGAAGGCCAAACATGCTGGCCTTTTGGCCTCCAGTGAGTGGACCGGGTTTGAGGTCTAGGGGAGCCAGACAGACCTCCGGGAGGCCCCACTCTGCTGATTTAGCAGAATTGAACTGGGTACTCTGGGCACTCCCGGACCTCAGCCCAGGACCCGGCCGGCATCTGGAGAGAGTGGAGGGACACTTCTGGACCTGTGAACAGAAACTGTAAGGTAGGGGCCCTATCAGTCAAGCCCACTCCCAGTGAGTGGAAGGGGGGACTGATCACCTACCTGTAGGTCATGCGACTTCCTCAGGCAAATTAATCAGGAATCAGGCGGACTGTTTAAACTCTGAGTAAACATCTGGTAGAAGTAAAAACTCAGAGTATCTGGTGTATGAATGTAAGTGTGAGAGTCTGTGTGAAGTGAAAGCTACTTTGTTCCGTCTGGCTGTACACATGCGAGTATTTGTTTTATCTTTCTGTTGTTCAATTTGTTTAAAGATAGGGCAAACCCCGCTTTAGGGGGAAGACAGTAGAGAACTTTTAATTGATTTCCCCTGATGTGTAATTTGGCTGTGCTAGGTTAAGATTTTAGAAATCTAAGATTAATTAAAGGTATAAAATTTGTGAAGGTTGCAACCCAGAGAAGTTTAAACAAAGGCTTATTGGGTTAAGATTAGTACATTTGCTCATGGCCTGTGTAGGGTGAAGGAGAGGGACTGCCGGACTTTTATCATGTGGTCCCGAGACCTGTGACCTGCCTGCCCTTCCTGATAGGTGCACAGTGGGTCTCTGTTGGGGACAGCATCTGCTCTGACTGGGGGAGGAAGAGAGCTGAAAACTGCTCTGGAGCGGGTGTGAGATGGGGTGGTGGTGGGATTCGCTAGATAGGGTGATAGGCTCTTAGCCTGCTGAGATGGAGGAGCCCGAGCCTGGGGGATAGGGGAACGGTCAGAGAGATCACAAGTGGTACCGGAGGAGAAGGATTTGAGCCTCTGGGGCTTAGAGTAAAGAAGGCAAAATCTAGGAGGGAGAGCAGCTCAGAGTAAATAGTTAATGCAGAAAAGTGGGGGGTGTCGGCGGGGAGAGCAGGGAGAGATAGGCTTTTGTTGATTTTTACTTATCTGAACTATGCTGGACTCAAGGCCGCAAGCTGCTACTAAGCACAAGTTTTTCTCTGCCACATTTTATTCTCTTTAACCCTTCCCATACTAAATTAGACCAATACAATATACTTGAACTTACATAGGAAAAATATAGCAGTTTTTACTAGACAAATTTTAATTTACCTGCTCTAGTAATCTAAGAAATACTGGCTGTTTACTTTTTAGTAATAATTAAAGGATTGATGTTATTAAGAATATGGAATTACTGAGTAGAAGGCTTGAGGCATGGTTATGCATTTTTAAAGGACATAGAAAGAAGGTTTAAAGGCTAATTTAAACGTGTAAAATTTATAAAGGTTGGGTACGTAATAAGAAGGAGAAAAGAAATGTTAAAAGGAAATTAATCAAATATTACAGGCCAGTAAGCCAGGAAGAGTAAATAACTTACATTCTGCCTCCCTAAACAGAGGGTAGATAGTTATGCCAAAGTACTTAGGTGGGACTGATAAAAGAAATCCAACAGTTACTGTTTTGTTATAACTCTAGAGAGCCCATAAAAAGAACTGGCAAGGAAAATCAGAAGATCTTAAAGCAGGTCAGTATATTTTTCTCCTTATAGAATTCCTCCGAAATAAATCATGGCAATACATTTCTTTGCATAAATTCAATAAGACCGGTTTCCAATAGTGGTTTTATTGACCGAAAATTATTGACTGGAGTACCATGTTTTAAAGAGCCCTGTCTGAACTCTGAAGACTTGAAGCCAATAAGAGTGCCATGGAGAAAGCCTGGTATCCTGCTTGGTAGCCCTGAAAATAGCTGGTGCTGGACTATCAGGCCCATGCCCTACCATCACTGGCGGTTGGTCAGAGTAGAAGGGGAGCAATAAGGGCGCCTCTGCATCCCTGCAGAACCCCCACGCACTCTGGGCCACGACGAGTAGTAGGGCTGCTGAGAAGGGCCTTAATGCAAGGACAATGGGCCCAGGTAGAGCCACTGCAGGTGAGGAATTCACCTAACTCAGCAGATACTGCAGGCAGGCCTGATGGCAGCTGGGTGGCTTGGCGTCCTGGCCCTACGGGGCACATTAACATTCAATCATGAAATTCCGGCAAAGGTAGTCAGTTACCATTCTTGTTGTGTTTATGCAAACAATCAGGCCAAATTAAATACAGTAAATAAATTAGTCGTTTAATAGACTTTTAAGGAGGAAAATGTCTATTTCAATAAAGGTTATTAAAACTGAAATGTTTTCTTTCCCTTCCACCAGACCATTTGTTACAGTTTGTCTCTGCCAGGTCACAAGCCCACCTCCTTCTGTGCCCAGGCCTCATATTCCCTCTGACAGACAGCAAGGATCTCTTGGCTCTGAGAGCAACCTCTGACCCACCTCAGCAGGAAGTAATTACAGAAGAAATCCAACGTCCATTATCCCTAAAAGAATTCAGAGCCAGGATCCTTGAGGTAATATAGTAGGCAGTTAGACAGACATGAGCAGAGCAAGGACGATGGGCCAACTGGCACTACCAGATGTAACTAAGTGTTTCCACCTCTATGTATGTAAGACAAGGGGACTCCCCAGAAGCAAGAGGGAACTGGGCTGTAGATAAAGCCGCTCAGGAGGCTGCCCTAAAACCAATGGGGCCTCTACAGATTCTAGTGACTCTTCCAGACCCTGACCTACTCACCTCACCAGCTTACACGAAAACCCAATCTAGAAAAGCTGAAATCCATAACCAATCTTTACTCGAGTTCTTACAGGCTTTACAGTGCACCCAGAAAGCAGTCCGGAAGCATGTTCGAGATGCTCTGCTTATACCAACTTCTGATCCGGTTCATCCCTTCCAACCTGCTGACTCTATTTGGGTAAAGAAGTTTGCCACCCAAAAACTGACTCCTGCCTGGAAAGGATCACCCCCACGGCAGTCAAGGTCGACAGGATCCTGATGTGGCTTCATCACACCCGGCTTAAGACAGTCCAGGCAAAATAGAGAGTCCAGGACTCTTCGGACCCTCTAAAGATTACTCCTGGCCCTCATTACAGGCCCTTATCTTATAAACAGGCCCACTAACTTTTTTTGGCAAAGAATTAATTCTATTAAGCTTGTAGTCCTCAAGGATCAATAAACCTCCCTCCCAACAATGACCCAAAAGACTCAATGATTTGACTCATGTACATAAAACCAGTAGGGAAAGAAGCAGCCCTCTGATATAAAAACTGCAGTTTGAAACTTTAATCCTGCTATTTTGGCTTCTGTAAATACTTGCTTGCTTAAATAATAAGGAAAATAAGACTACTCCCATTCCTGAGAGGCCATAAACTATGCCCCAGACAGAGTTGTCAGTGATGACACCTGGCCAGGCCTTGAGATATGGTGTCATGGCCCCTTTCCAACATGCAGGCCTTCTTTCTTGAAGGCCCAGAAGTCTCATTCCAAATTTGGGAGACAAAGGACTGGAAAAAGTATAAATAAAGAGAGTTTCCTCCATGTTTGGAGGCGCAGAATTTGAAAGACACATTTTTCTCTGGGCCTGCACAGTATTGAATAATAAAATAGAACTCCCTTTCTCTAAGCATGGTTTGGTTTTTCTCTGGTCTTCTGCCACAGCATGACCCATCTCTTCACCCTCTGACCATCTCCCTGCTCAGCCTGGATCTGTGCTCAGATCTATATGCCACTCATGCAGGCAGTATGTTGGGTCACACCCCTGCACGTGGACCTGTCGGGGTACCTCTGCCTCCACATTGCTCCCTGCACAGGACTCTCCCACTCCTAAAAGAAACCTTTGTACACAGACACACAATTACATTCAGCGACACTCACAAAGATACACATGTTTACACTCACACACAGACCTCCCCCTAAGACATGCATAGCAAGACTCGTGTGTGTGTGTGCCCTTGTGCGTGCAGGCTCACACGCACACACACACACACAGACAGACAGACAGACACGCACACAGGCAGACATGCACACAAACAGACATGCACACAGGCAGACATGCACACAGACAGACAAGCACACAGGCAGACATGCACACAGACACATGCACACACACAGGCATAGTGAGCCGTCTGTGCTCTCTGTGTCTTTCTGTGATGTAGTAGTCGCATCACAGCGTGGTT